ACTGCTGTGGGACTGCTCTGGGACCGCTGTGGGACTGCCCTGGGACTGCTCTGGGACTGCTCTAAAAGCAGTCCCAGCGGTCCCAGCAGTCCCAACGGTCCCAGCAGATGCTGGGACTGCTTTCTGGGACTGCTTTGTTCAGCCGTGCGTGAATGAAATCACGTGGTACAAGAAAGCTCCGCCCCCTTGTTAATTCAGAATATACACGAACCGCCTCATTAGTTTGTTTCACCGCTTTCAGTCGAGAACTAGGAAAATTAATAACAACACATGTCATGGATAGAAATACGATCACGCGAATATCTCCCTACATTCGGCGCCGAATAATTTCGTTAAAAGACAATGGTATGAACAATGTGCAAATTCGAGAAGCCATCAACAGAGAAAATAATGTTCTGGTGTCCAGGCAAGGAATTTCTGAGTTTTTGAAGAGGTACAGGGCGTCTGGCAGCGTTGTTGATCGGACTGAACGAAACCGAAGAGATCCACGTACCAAATTGACAGATGAACATTTGAATTATATAGACAATGCCGTTTCAGAAGACCGAGAACGATCGGCGGCAGAACTGTCGAGATTGATCAGGGATAGATTTGGTGTGACTGTGAGTGACAGTTCGATCAAAAGGGCACGACAGAAATTGGGGTGGAAACGAAAAAGCGTGAAATATTGTCAACAAGTGCGCATTGTGAATCGGCCAAAGAGACTTGAATTTGTCATAATTTGTGCGCACAACAATGAACATTTTCATGATGTTATTTTCACAGACGAGACCACTGTGAAAATCCAGAACTCTACAAACTTCACGTTTTGGAAAGACGGAGAGGAAATTACGCCGCGGCCAAAGCCAAAACATCCTTACCAGGTATGGAAATTTTATAAAATGTAATTTAATATAACATTTCAAAGGGGAACTAAAAGTTCAAGAAAATTTATCAATAAAATGTTATTAAATTTAAGCACCGTATTAATTATTTGGGGATTTTATTTTGTTTAAAAAAATTATCCGTAAACTACAGAACTTCCTAGGTTTTCGAATTTAACGTTTCAAAAGTATTTCCGGTAACGGATTCCTGTTAAGACGCAACAAGGCACATGCTGATACTTAACGGTATTGCGTTTGTTTTTTAATACAGATAACGCTTATAAAATAAGATTAACGCTAGTGAAGTAGAAAAGGTCCGCGTGTATGTGTTTTTGTCTGTTTAGTATATCACCCGTATTGTTTTTTTTTTCTAATTACAAGGGGGGAAGTGAAGAAATTTTTCCCCCGGTATCTTCAAATGTAATCGATCTTTTTCACGGTATTATTTACCCATATGCACATCAAATTATTCGTTATGTACTTCTGCTAATTCAACATGACCTAAGGAATTACATGTATACTCCAACTCATTTTAATTTGTATTGACGTGCTAATCTAAGATTTATAAGGCTAGTGAACACTTGCTCTGGTATTTAATGTATACATGTACTGTATGTTTAGCACTTAACATGAACTTCAGTATCTTTGCTGGTCTTGTCTTAATAAATTTAAGAAACAGATTGACTTTTCCATTAGAACATGCTAAACATGATCAATATTACATAAGTACGAAAATTTGTTGAAGGCACAATTATATCACAACACCTAAAACACTTGTAATATTCTGTTTTAGGTACATGTCTGGGCCGGCATTTCACGGAGAGGACCAACTGGGATTCACATCTTTACTGGCATCATGGACAGCACATACTACCAATCCATCCTCCAGTCAACACTCCTCCCCTTCGTCCATGATGTCTATCCCGATGGCCACCGATTAATGCAAGACAACGACCCAAAACACGTTAGTCGTTCGACAAGACAATGGATGGAGGACAATGGTGTTAACCACTGGGTTACCCCTCCTGAATCTCCGGACATGAATCCGATTGAAAACATGTGGGCTGCTCTCAAATTCCATATTCGAAGAAGAGTGAAACCAAGAAGTCAAGAAGATCTTATCAATGGAATCCTTGAGTTCTGGAACTCTGTGACTGTGGACATGTGTAATGCCTATATAAACCACCTCTACAAGGTGATTCCTAAGGTGATTGAATGTGACGGAAATGCAAGTGGACACTAATGACATATAACTGCATTTGTGGAGAAAAACTGTGATTCGCAGGTCTTCTGTTTGAAGTGTGCCAAGAGTGACATGTGTAAATACTTGCTACACTTTGCTATTGTTTTCTCTTTTGATGACCTACCCACTAAAGGATGTTTATGTGAACTTTTAAAGACTTTTAAAAAAAGTTTCATCCCTATTGCAGTGTATTGATAACATCGTGTCCATTTTGATCAATCTTGTCTTTCAAAACAAAGACAGAAAATTATATCACTCCTCTTTAAACACATGTTAAAATTGTTTCTTTATAATTATATTTGTCATATGTGAATTGATAAAAAACAGTATGAAACTTATTTGACTGCATTTACATTTCATTTGAAAATGGTTCAGTATTAAACAATTAAAATTTGACATTGTGTATTGTTTGATTTAAAATGGATATGTACATGTACATAGATCCAAAATGGAGAAACATCCTTTTTATTGTGAATTATATGAATATTGGTACCAAACTATTTTCTTGTGCATACAATATCAATAAAATTCTTTCACATGTGGATGTTGTACTTACATATTTGAGAGAACAAGTTGGATTTTAAAACTCATACTATGCATGATGTAGTGCACGAGGCAGAAAATAAGAAGGCTGGTCAATAAAAAGAACATACAGCATGAAGCATCATTTAAAACTGTCATGATTTAGGACTGACTAATGTAAAGTGGAGATTTTTTTAATGGAAAGTGGTGTTTGGGGATGTGCTAGTTGCAAATTTGGTTAATGTAAAATATTTATAATTATTTTAAGAAGTTTGATAAGCCCATGGGATGGGGGTGTACTTAGTTTACTTAAATAGTACTGTCATATGATGCTTCACGTTGTATTTTTTTTTTATTAATCAACGTTCCTACTTAAGATCTTAATAGAACGCTTATATTCCAATGGAGAACTTTCAAGGTTCTAGGTTATATTCAATAATAAATATAGAAATTTTATTATTTAATTTAAAACAAAGCCAATGGAATTATGATATGAATGAAATTTTAGAAATCACTTTAAATTTAGAGCACCTTTAGAAAATGATTGTTTGACTGAATCAAAACTTTTAAATTAATAATAAAGAAAACTATTTAGTAATATTTTTTTCCATTGCAATTTCATGCTTTACAATCCTGACATTCAGACAGAAATAAAACATTCCAAATCTCTGAGATGTCATATAATTCAACTGGAAACAAGTTCTTGAATCTAGTGTTCATTTGACCAGAAATGCAAAAGTAAGATGTATGTTGTCCGTCAGTCTGTAAACAAAATGCTACCCTGAGTTTAACTTGGCACACAATTAGATTACTCAAAGATACATAATTTGGTGTATCTGTTTCAATTCTACATTTGAGTATTGCCATGGCAACTAAAAATACATAAATCTGTGAAATAGTTTCTAGATGCTAATATTTCAATGGATTGGCCTGATCTAGAATAACTTTGCATACATGTAGAGTATACCAAGATACTTAGGTCAAGGCCACGCTTAAATTCTTTGTTTGCAGTTGCCGGCGTACAATTTCTAGATTGGGTAGATTGGTAGGCTCTTTATTATTTTAAAATGTTTTTAAATTTTTGTAAGATAACAAATATTTGTGACGTTTTCAGTGGCAAACTTAACAGGAATAAACTCCACTCTAGTTTTCAAGTTAAATGATTGGTAAAAACAAAAGTCAAAAATTGAAAAGGAAACATATTCAATATCCTTAAAAGTTGAAGAAAAATAAATTATTACAAAATTGCTAAAAAAAGTGTGGATTGGGTGCTTTTTTAGTGGGCCGGTAGGCAACTGCCAACAAACAAATTTTTATTTTAGACCCTATCTATTGTTCTTTATTGTATTGAGCAGTCTTGCCAAGTGACTGAGAATTAAATTTTGGTGAAATTCATTCAAAAGGCTACATGTATACTCTTCCAACGATTCCAATCTGAGTGCAATAAGACTAAATTAAGACCACTGAGTAATTTTATTAATAGTATTGCGGTTGCACTGAAAATTTCAAGTGCATTTCCTCTGAACACTTTCTTTCCATAGTAATTAAATAGTAAATCAAGCCAACTTTAGACAAATGTTTTTTGCCCTTGCCCAAAATCGTCTGAAAATATTGGGTCAATAAGTACATATAGGAGAGTTTCTTTTTCACAAAAAAAAAATGTCCAAAGTAAAATTGATATTTTTTCCTTACATTGTATCTTCCTGATTACATTATAATTGATTACTTTTTGGGAGTTTAAAATCTTTTGAGTCAAGCCAATATTATCCAGATAGCCAGGAGAGGGCAACCAAACAATTTTTTAAAGTTGGCCTCAATTATTTTCTTTTAGGACACATTCTTCTCTATTTTACTGATACAACTTAGAGAGAAAGGCATTTTTTTCGTTAATATTTTTATTGAAAAAATAGTTATTCAACACAACTACAAACACATAACAATATATAACATCAAAAAAATATATTAATTTTTTTCTTTTGTATTTGAGGCATTTTTGTTACAGAGATTATAAAGCTACAAAGCTACACAGATTTTGGAACTTGTCAACAATACATTCTTAAAATAAGTACATGTATTTGAGTGTACACATTAGCCTTTATGCTCAATGCTGATTCTTTTTTGTCTGTTAAGTATTCCCTGAGATTTCATGCATAGTTTGCAAGATACAGGTACATGCATATTTTATTGCTACTTTGCAGGCACTATTCTGTTTTTAAAAAAAAGGGAAAGCAATATTCATGATTCAAATGAATACAATCATTTAAATTAATCGCATCTTGATATAGTCATTTAAACATGTTAAATTGTTGACATGAATTTTTTCTTGAATAGTCATTGATGCATAACATTTCATTGAATTGGAATCACACGTCCTAAAGTATGGCATCCAAGTTGAAGTTAGCTGCAATATGCTTATGGAACTTCCAATTTGCTTTATCCAGTGCTCGGACTACTGTCTTTTTGATTTTTTCTTCCTCAGCTGGTGTGCTTGGGAAATGGCGCATGCAGATTTCCTTAATGTCTTTGATTTTTTCAGGATTCACACGTCCTTTCTCTGAACGGCCACTGCAGTATAACTTCCCGCTGATGTTTTTCTTGTAGACATCTTGCACAGTGCACATTCCACGGAAGAGAGCTGCGGCGAACTGTAAGCGATTTTCATTGTGAATGCCTTTAGCATCTTGCACAATACTGAGGAATGTGGGGTGGTCCTTGTGATATGGGGGCAATACAGTTCCTTGTGCTTCTGCATGCTTCACTTTACAGGACATAATGGACTTGACAGACATGTCCCAAAACTCCTGTTTAGAAATGGTCACTTTGGTTGTCTCAGATGAGGAGCTCAAGTCACTCTGTTCAAATTCACTTGAATCTTGTTGCTCTTGTTCAGGCAAATCTGCATTCTCAACAATCTCACAATTCTCCATTGATCTCAACTCCAGGAAGTCCACTGTACTTAATGGTATCCTTTCTTTGTGAACTGCAGGTGTATCTTGCTGATAATGGGTAGATGAACCAAATGTTCCTTCTTTCCCTGAGCTGGCAGCTAAGGCCTCAACACTTGCAAAAATGGATTTGGCAATACTTCTTGCTGCGGTTGAGGAATCTGTACTTGTCTTCTTTGATGTTGCAGCATCATCACTCTTCGCAAGGATTTCAATGTTTGCAAATATAGAAGGAGTTTGGGATGAGACATTAGGACGCTGAGTTGAGGATTTAGTAGCTGGTGCCGAAGTAGATGTAGCCATAACGGCCATCTCTGTAGCTGGTGCTGGGGGAGTAGATGTAGCTATAACGGCCATCTCTGTAGCTGGTGCCCGGGGAGTAGATGTAGCTATAAAGGCCATCTCTGTAGCTTGTGCCGGGGGAGTAGATGTAGCTATAACGGCCATCTCTGTAGCTAGTGCCGGGGGAGTAGATGTAGCTATAACGGCCATCTCTGTAGCTGGTGCTGGGGGAGTAGATGTAGCTATAACGGCCATCTCTGTAGCTGGTGCTGGGGGAGTAGATGTAGCTATAACGGCCATCTCTGTAGCTGGTGCTGGGGGAGTAGATGTAGCTATAACGGCCATCTCTGTAGCTGGTGCTGGGGGAGTAGATGTAGCTATAACGGCCATCTCTGTAGCTGGTGCCGGGGGAGTAGATGTAGCTATAACGGCCATCTCTGTAGCTGGTGCCAGGAAAGTAGATGTAGCTATAACTGCCATCTCTGTAGCTGGTGATGTTAGAGTGGATGTTGCTTTATCTGCCTTTTTTGTCGCTGGTGATGGTGAAGTTGATGTAGCTTTATCTGCCTTTTTCTTCACTGGTGATGTTGGAGTGGATGTAGCTTTATCTGCAATCTTTGTCACTGGTGCTGTGGGAGATGGGGTTGTCTGTCTTAGTTGGCTTTTGATTTCTGCTAATCTCTCTTCAATCTTTTTTAGGGTCCTTTCTGCTACACTATCTGCAATCCTCCTTAAGGTCCTCTCTGCTAAACTCTCTTCAATCTTTCTTAAGGTCTTTCCGGTTTCCTCGACTGTCTGCATCATCTGGTATTGTTTATCAACAAAAGAATCCTGAAGTTCTGGGAGTTCAGACAGGTTGAGCTCTGGAAGAGAGGTGCTCAAGGAATCTGGGTCTGGAGTAGAAACTGCTAATGGCTGCTTCTTGGGTGTCTCGGAAATTGTTGAGATTTTCTCTGGTGATGTGGTAGTTAATGCAGAGCTTCCCTCTGTCGCTGTGGTTGTTGATGGGTAGATGTTCTGTGACCTTGCTGTTGTTGATGGGGAAATTCCCTGAGATGCAGCAGTTGTTGATGGGGAGATTTCCTGTGCGGTTGAAGATGGGGAGATTTTCTGTGATATTGTGGTTGTTGATTCAGAGACTCCCTCTGGCACTATGGTTGTTGATGGGTAGATGTTCTGTGACCTTGCTGTTGTTGATGGGGAAATTCCCGGAGATGCTGTAGTTGTGAATGGGGATATTTCCTGTGCGGTTGCTGGTTGGGAGGTTCCCTGTGAAACTGTTGATGTTGATTGGGAGATTGCCTTTGGTTGTGCAGTTGATGGATGGACAACTCCCTCTGGTGTCACAGTTGGATGGATTCTGTCAGGTGCGACAGTTGTCGACACGGAGATTTCCTCTGCTGTCATGAACTGGGAGGTTACTTCTGGTGTTGTAATTATGTTTGGAGTTGTTGTCTCTGGTGCTGTTGATGGGGAAGTTTTCTTTGGTGTGTTGATGGTTTCGTGAGTTGGTGTAATATTTTCCTTTAGAGCATCCTCATTTCCTCCTTGACTTGTAGGTAGAAGGACAGCAACCATGCATGTCTTCTCTGTGGGTGAACTGTTGCCATGGGTAAGGAAATTGTTTATCTTATCCTGGATTTCCTGTGGAAAGTTATACCCTGGATAGATCAAACGCCCCCCGACTGTGTCATTCTGTCTGTTTGGATGTAGCACCTCCTTCAAGACCTTGGCCTTTGGTCTGCCTTTACCACTGTCTTCCTTGGCTTTTAGCTTCTCTTTTGGATGTGATTTCTTGTCTTGCAAAGAAAAAGTACAATTTATCTTTTGCATCAATTAAGAAGAAATCTTACTTTTTTTTAAAAAAAAAAATTTGAACATTTGTTAAGGAATAATCAGAGTCCAGTTTCAGAAGCACACTCATATTTGATTGATTGTTTTGAATTATCACCTCTTCAATCTTGAAAGAAGGGAGTAGAAGAGAGTAATTACTACCGGGACATTATATCACCCGGAAAGGAAGTTTTTACACACACACAAAATGTAATCAATTTATGACCCTGACCGTTGACCTGTTGACTGCAAAGTACATAGGGGTCATTCTTAGGCCATAGGGAGTTGCTGTAGAAATATCACTGTTATAACTAAAACAACTAAATAATTAAAAGACTTCTCTAAATATTGTGTGGAAATGAATGGATAATTTTTACCATTGTTTAAGAGTAAAATAAATTGACTTAAAATGTTGTTCATCAAAACATTTATGATTGTTTGATATGAGAAATCATTTTCCCACTTTCAATGTAGTTATCTCCTTTAGTTTTAAACATGTTCTGCTCATTATATTATTTTGAAACCTTTCTATAACATTTAAATAAATTTACGGAACCACTTTCTCAAAATTCACAGTTTAGAGAGCCTAAGGTGTACCTGTAACACCACATAAGTGGAAATTTAAGTGAAACACAAATTTAAGGAATTGTCCTTAAAATATGGTATTTTATAACTAGTGAGAAGTAATTTCAGTGATTTGAAAATGCTCACTAGAGAAGCTGTTACAGATTAAATAGAGTTCATTTTTAGCAATCTTTGATTTCAGCAATCGCAGAGCCCATTTTGAATACCAAACTTATATCCATGCTAAAAATTCTGCTTTTTATATATATATATATTTGATCATATTTATATGGAAGCATTCTCAGGTAATGCAGATTCAAGTTTGTTCAAATCATGAACCCCGGGGGTTGGGATGGGCCACAATGGCTGACCAAAGTTTAAGTATAGGGGTGGAAGTAACCCAGTAAGTACAATTTGCATGAAAGAATGTAGTACCTTCTGCTCCTTTTTTTTCTTCTTAGGGGGAGTGCAAGTAGCTTCTTCTTCCCTCTCATCCATAGCTTGTTCAAATTTCTTAATGGCATCCTCCAGCTCTTGTCTGCAGTCTAAAATATGTGAATATTGTAATATAATAAAAATCAATATTTTAATGTGAATTGGTCCCCTAAGTAATTTTGTGCTTAAGGTATTCAATGTATAACGAAGGGATTTTGACCAATTTTAAATAATTTTAAACTAGTTAAAAGCACACAGCTAGAAAACAATAAAAGTGAAATAAACCAAATTCACAAGACTTATAACATGTAAGGAGACGGTCATTTTGCACATTTACAGTTTTTGAAGAGTTATCTGCCCTTGATGAAAAGAAGAAAATTTTTGATTTCACAAAATTTCTGCGGTAAATAATTTTTCTTATTTTATATTTTAATAAAGAGGGAGTTTATGCATATTTTCACCAAGAGATTTCTTTGAAATTCAAATTACTTTTTACAATATCTTATAAAAACATGCACTGCCCATAGACATCAATGTAAAATTTAAAGTGATATTAATTGGACAATAATCAAAATTTTGTAAATTCCTTTGGTGGAGCATTTTCATTTGATAATATCTTCAAATTGCTACCATGATTAAAAATATTGGACTGTTCATTTATTAGGTACAAAATATGGTCGTTATACATTGAATACCTTAATTCACAGAAGTCGTGTATGTGTACAAGAGAGGGTGTAACGATGCGTATGTATGTTTTTTTTTATGTGTGCGCATATTTTTTTTACACCTTGTCATTTGTTCACATGTTACTTAGTACATAAAATTTCTTTCATGCACTCTTATGGTGGGCAAAAAAAATTCCAGAATCTATAACTGTATTTTAGATTCTGTCATCAATAAATGTTTGACAAACATCAAGATGATGAAGATCATTGATCTAGTTATAAATCACAGATATAGCTGTGAAGTTAACAAGTTTTAAAGAAGATTGTCATGATTGCATTGATCAAATAAATACATTGTAGGTACTGTATTAACATAACATATTCATTTAAAAAATACATGTAGTTCTACAGTTGTATGAACAAAATATTGTATAATTATGCCTCTTGAAGAGAATTCTTAAGAAAACCACTAAAGAGAAAGTGCATTGCTGCCTCATACAGACTGACCCATCAAAGATTCATTTACAGTTCACAGGAAGAAAATTAACAATTAGTGTAGCTCTTCAAATGCCCAAGCTGAAGTCGAATAAAGAAACTAAAGGTCAATTTGGGAATTTAATTCAGAATATTTCCATGCCTAATTTTTTTGTCTGAGATAACTCTTTGAATGTTTAGCAGAGTTGATATCTTGGTTATATCCATCTGGTATCACTGTCCCTGATTAAATTTTTTTTTCTTGAACATGTTTAATTTTATTTTGAAATAGTCATAACACTGTAGTATTTCTATGCAAATCATGAGTGTCATTAAGACTCATTTCTTTCATGCTCAAGTCAGATGTAAGTTAATAAATATCTATAAAATAAACCTGACCATCGCAGGACATTTAACAATTTACAATCAATCAAAATACTCAGGAGTACAGAGAGCCGGGCTCAGCTACAGAGAAGAATTTTGTACATATATCATACATTCATATTGTATTTCCTAGTAATTGATTAAAAAAAAAATAAATTTCAGACACGGGAATAATATCCTCCCCGTCAATGGAAACACAACACCCTATTTTTAGGGTGTAAATTATATACAGGTTATGACTATGTACCAAAAAAATTCGGACATCTTTTACTTTTCCAAATCAGTTATTTAACGGTTGAATTAATCTCTTTCCATCACCGGAAGTTGCTTTTTAGCCATCTTAACAGAATTCAAAATTTTGTATTTTTAATAAAATTTTAACAATATTTGGGGTTTTTAAAGTTTTGAAGCTGTTAACAATAAGCATTGTACCAAAAGTCCGGGATAAAATCCTTCTTTCTTTACTGGATGTGAGGTTTATATTTCCTCAAAATGACTGAAAGCAAGAAGGGGGGATGATTTAAGAGTTATGTGTTACCTTCTAAAGGTTAATGATAACGTTAAAAATGAATATGTATATTTTAAAAGTAAATTTACAAAACATGAATGCTCCCTTTAAACATTGCATGTTTTTTTAAATCTTGGAAAGAAGAAAATACCAGGTAAATTTTAAAACATCCCCCCTTCCGACCATTTCAGTAAAACGTGCTAGTCAGCCATATGTAACAAATGCAGCCAGATATCTACCATGCATTAGGTTTATAGACATCTTAATCTGAGCGAAATTAATATTCTTGGGCATTTTAAAATGCATGTTTTTCCAGACACTGCGGTCGAATTTTCTCTAACTTGGCGTAGTGTAGCAACTTTTGGACTTCTGGTCAAGAAACTTTTATTTATGCTATTGAAACACATGAGTCTGATGAGTAGTTGTATAGCATACATTTGCATCTGCACTCTTTTTTTCTTTATTTTGAGAATTTTTAGCATTAGCAATGAAAATCAACAATTTTAAGGAAATACAAGCATCATATCCGGTAAAGAAAGAAGGATTTTCCCCAAGCATTTTAGTACTATACTTATGATTAACAGCTACATAACCTCAAAAATCCAAAATATTGTCAAAATTTTATAAAAAATGCAAAATTTTGATTTCTGATAAGAGGGCTAGAACGCAACTTCCGGTAGTGGAAGGAAATTCATTCAACCGTAAAATAATTGATTTTGCAAAGTAAAAGTTGTCCTTGAATTTTGGTATGTACATAGTTATAACCCGAATACAATTTTCAGCCTAAAATAAGGGTGTTGCGTTTCCATTGACGGGGAGTATATGTAACACATAAACCTGATTGATATTAAATAAGTTCATCAAACATACTATATTTTTACAGCCTTGCACAAGATAACATTCTGTAAGCCTGTATAAAATTTTGTATTTCCCAGTATTTTCCAGTTAAGGGAAAATTGATACAAAATGTACCAGTAGTACAGTATTTTCCAGGAAGGGAAATACCAGTATTCACTAACTCTACTTCTCTGCTCTGTTATTTTTCTATTAACACTGATCTTAAATAAGACAAGAAAAAAAAAACCTGATAAGGCAATTATGTGAGCTGGAAGTTGCAAATCTTTGCTCCAATTGATGGTCACCACTGAATTAACCTCAAAAGGAGGGTTGCTCTGAAATCTAGAGGTAGGTATAACTCCAGTTGCATCTTCCTCGGGATAGAACACTGCAGCCAATGTTGGTAGTTTGGCTAAAAAAATAAAATATAAACATGTCATATTTATGTATGCCAGCTATTATAAGCATTTGCTTATCTTGTTAAAGGAACCGTAAAATATATGCATTTTACTCAGATTTTCTAAAGTTTATAGATTTCTTTTTGTCAGATACATGTAAAGAAACATGAATATATACATTTTTTTAAAACGTTTAGAAACTGCATGGTTTAGAAATCGGAATGTTATTAAAGAACAAAGTCCACTTTTGCCTTATTTGGCCCTGTGAATTTTTGAAAAATTGAAACTAAAATCTCAGTTAGATCTTTGGTGACTGCGATCCTATAAAAAATGATGTAATTTTCTCGCTAGTCAATGCATTATAACGTCACGCTGAAAAAAAGACTACAAAAACGGCCAATTTTTCATAGTTATTTTTCGATATTTGATATACGCAGGTACGATAAGGCTTCCCAGAGAATATTGCAGTGTACTCTGTGCATGAACTTCTCTGAACTACAAATGTATGACGTCATAATTGAAAATGACGTCAAGTCACTGCATACTTGAGCTGTAATGATGGGGAGAATGTCATAAACTTTACACCTTTATTTCCATCTGCATATAAAGTTGCATAATTCTAGCTTAACTGTAATATATCCGAATAATATAGATAACCTTGCTTTGTTACTCGTGTTTAAAAGTCAGCGTGTTCAAACTCCGTACGAAAATATACGTTTGACATTTACTCTTCTTTATACCCGTGGACAAAGGCACAATTCAAAATATGTGTGTAAAAGAGCCTGGTGCAGGTTGTTTATGAAGATTTATTTAACATCTTTTATGGAATTATGTAAAAGAGTTTCCCCTCTAACTGAATCTTGCTTGGGAAATATGTATGGTGGCTTTGTTTTAAAACAGTTGACAATATTCGGTGGAAAATACCCTCAGATTTGTCGGTAAGTTGAAGTTAATCTGAAATAAATTGTTCCAAAGAAATAGTATAACTTTTCCCAAGCACATTTCGGTTTCACAAGAATGCAACAAATTTATTTATGTGACAAATAAAATATTAATTGTGTTAACAACTTGCGCCGAAGCGATTTATGTGAAACATTTCAAAAAAAAAAAGAAATGACCGTCACGTGATCAACAAGGTCATGTGACATCGTAACAAATATGTTTATATATAGCCTTGGGGATCCTCTGTCTGAATTTGGCGCACTGAAGTACATAACTTAAAAATAAAACTAAAAATAAACTTTGCAAAAGAGTGTTACGTTTTAAATGCATAACAAGCTCCGGGTAGCCTTAACAGTACTGCCTAGGGCACAACCTCTGTTCTTTAATATGCCACTAGTAAATGATAGAACTGTTTCTGAGAATTCATGGACACATTTCATTTTGTAGATCAGAGAGACTCATATTATTTTTTTTTTCACTGAAAGTACTCAATTATGCCTGTTTTCCTAAAAATTCAAGAACATTTCAGTTTCATAAAGCCAGTTCTCCAAGACCTGGACTTTGAGGAGAATTTTTTTAATAGGATATGAAAGCCCCAAGTCTCTATTTTATTTTAATGCTACAAATAGAAAATCAAGTGTTGGTCAATTAATTGGTATATCTACAAGGCAATTTTATGCATACAGTGAACCTACTTCTTTGGAATGTTCTTATACATAATACAAATATAAACAGATTTTTTAGGGGTTGAGGACTTTTATTTCCATTTGATGGCCAGATTCTATTGCAGCCTGATTAACTATCCTTTGATTTTTGTTACACAAACTAAATACTAGTGCATATAAATAGACCACTTTTAGATTTAGTTACATATTTATGAAGCTAAAAGCAGGTGACACAAGGATTCTTTGAAACACTAGCATTTATTTAATCCCTGCAAAAAACAATGTGATAATCCTGAATTTAAAAAAAATTGTCTAATTAATATATGGCACTATACAAACATATTATTAAAAAACAAAAAAAAAATTTAAAAAAAATTATTTGTTCATTTTCAAATTTCATCTGTATTTTATAAAATTCTGCTGAAATCTGAATGAGTTCTACATTATGAGACTGACAGAAGTTATTATGTCAAACCTGCAAAATTTGAACTTTCACAGTTTAAAAATATCACTGAGCAACCAAAGTTAGATCATATTAAGATAGGATTGAAATTGTTCAAATAAGGGAATTTTCAAAACAGGTGGAGCAGTGAGGATCAAAGAATCAGGGGCATTAAGACCCTAAATATGCCCCAATCATAATGGACAAAATATTATAAATATTAAAAGAATTATGATTGAATCACACCTTTTTAGACATATTTGGATGAAAAAACCACTATTAAGACATTTTGGGGTCAATACAAAAATAACACTATTTTCACTGATTTCTGGAAATTCTTAATAATATTTTTTCCCTGTAAATATGATTAAAGAAATAAAAGATGGATGTTTAATACAAATACAACAGAAATGATCTTAAACATGTGAATAGAAACTATTTTTTTAGCTAAAAGTGGTGAAATAACAGATTTGAATGTAACACAGTTGTTTTTGTCCCCAGTTTTCGCGAAAGCGGGGGTACATTAAATCTTATTCATCTGTCTGTCAGTCTGTAAGTCTGTCAGTCACAAAGACTTTAACCTTGCCCATAACTTTTGATTTAGTGGAGTTATGACTTTCATATTACACATGTGTATTCCTTATTACAAGACCTTTCTTTGGGTACCACCAAATTTGACCTTGACCTTTGAGTTTAACCCACTTTTACATAAAAATTCCAAACTTTACTTTGGCCATAACTTTTGAATAGTAGGTACAAGGACTTTCATATTTTACATATGTATTCTTTGTGGCAAGACCTTTCAATGGATACCAACAACCTTGACCATTTGACCTTGACCATGGAGTTCCACGTACTTATGAAAAAACTTTAACCTTGACCATTACTTTTGAACGGTGAAGACTACGGCTTTCGTACTTCACATATGTAATCCTTGTAAAAAGACCTTCCATTGGATACCAACAACTTTTACCCCTTGACCTTGGAGTTTTAACTACTGTTTAAACTTTAACCTTGGTCACAACTTTTAAACAGTAGATACTAGGAATTTATTTTTCACATATGTATTCTTTGAGTCAAGACCTTTCATTGGATACCAACAACCTTTACCTTTTGACCTTGACCTTTGAGATTTACATACTTATGAATAAACTTTAACCTTGACCATAGCTTTTGAAATGTGAGAGCTAGGGCTTTCTTCTTCACATATGTAATCCTTTGAGAAGACCTTTCATTGGATACTAACAACTTTCACCCTTTGACCTTGACATTGGAGTTTTCACTACTTTTAAAAAACTTTAACTTTGGTCGCAACTCTTGAACGGTAGATAATAAGACTTTCATATTTCACATATATATTCTTTGTGGCAGGAGCTTTAATTGGATATCAACAACTTTGACCTTGACCTTAAAGATTTACGTACTTATGAATAAACTTTAACCTTGACCATAACTTTTGAACGGTAATGGCTACGACTTTCATACTTCACATACGTAATCCTTGTGAGAAGACCTTTCATTGGATATCAACAACTTTGACCCTTTGATCTTGACCTTGGAGTTGACCTACTTTTAAAACCTTCACTTTGGCCATAAGTTTTTAACGGTCAGGATTAGGGTTTTCATCCTTCAAAAAAATCAATTTCAATGATAATTACTAAATAAATTACAAATGATATGGTGTTCATATTAGACACAATATGTCAGAAAAAATAACATCTCACTCACAAAGACACCGAAAGCGGGGCACCACAATTCTTTGAACTTGCTTGTATGTATTTAACATAAAAATACATTGAATGCACAAAGTGAACAAACAAGAAATGTATTCAACTAACATTTTTAATAACAATTCATTAAACTTGACAAAAATAACAATAAGGGATTTCAGTTTGCATAAACAAATTCCAGAACTACCATCACCCACCTATACTTTTACCAAAAAGATCATAGAAGTTTAACATCACACCACTCATGCCTTATACACTACATTTACTCATAATAAGATAATGTTTATCATCCTCACAATGTCATAAAAATGAACTAAGTATCAAAGAATTAGTTATACTAGTACATGTTTGCCTGGAAAGGTTTTGTAATTACATTGTATTACAAAAAATAACAAGTACTTGTATATAGTCATGTTAATTATTAACAAAGTTCAATATGCAAATAAACACGCTGCGTAATAAACTATAATTGTTACTATTATCTGAGAAACATTTTGTGATGCATTATGTATTTTACATCAGTATATTAATTTTGATAACAATTATTCATGAAGAATAATCATATGATAATAACAAATCATTTCATTTGTCAATGTACATAATTAATCTTTCAATATTTACAACCAAACTTGTTAAACTCATGCAATGAATCTAATATGTTTTTGGATGTACAATGTACTATATTTTAATTTCTCGATTATATAACAGATGTTAAGAAATCACAATTTAAACACAAAAAAAATCATAGATACATAAAAATCCCTATTTACAATTAATAAATAACAATATATACACAGCCTTCCACAATATTGTTGAAAACAACAATGGGAACCTAATGCAGTGGATATCATAACCTGCAGATTGATTGATTGATTGTATATTGTTTAACATCCCTCTCGAGAATTTTCACAAATATAGGGACGCCTATTATCTGCAGAATGTTCACTCTCAATAATGTTCACTCTCAATAAACCAATGTTGCAAATCATGTCACTCTTCCGTTGCACCCATTTCACTTTCTGATGAGCCATCCATTACTGCAGGAAGCACAGCTGCATCAAGGTAGTCTGCCCAGTCTTGAGTAGGTCTTACTGCAAAGTTTGTGTGTCTTTCATAGCCAAGAAACCACAATATTGAGTTCACATGGGCACGGCACTGACAATACCAACAAGTAACAGCTCCAGTAACAGGATATTGTTTTGGACCATCTCCAGGCATCCTACAATTAAAATATGAATATCAAAATTAAATTACTATATATGTTATGTATGCACATTTTGTCTATAACTATGGAAGGAGGGGGGGGGGTTACTTGTACAGTGTATATAAATTTGCATAAGATTTTCTTTATATATGAAAAAAGGGAATCATTTATTAATATTACCAGGTATGATATATAATTATTTCATTCAAGAAATCAATTTAAATAGCAGTTTTATTGATTTACCTATTTGAGTTTAATGAATAAAATCAGAGGCAAAGACATTATTGTTTACTTTAAATTAAAACAAAAAAGATGAACCTTGTAATGACAAACATTTTTTTTTTCATTTAAATGGTGACTTAAATGAATTTGAAATATTCCTTGGTAATCTAATTATTTTTTTTAATGATTATACTTACAAAAGTTTAATATTACGTTAATAATATTTTAATTAATTGGTTAAAAAAAACAACAAAAAATACATTGTTCCCACAAGGAAAATAGAAAGAATTTTATTTATAATTCTTATTTATTCTGCAATTAAGAACATTAATTAGATTTAGTGATGTTAGCTTATTTTTAAGAAACTAATTTTTTTTTATTTCTTTAACGGTTTTACAACAACCAGAGACATATAAAACCATGGTTTTGTATTTACAATGGTTTTGTACATGTATGTCTCTGCAACAAAAAAAAAAAAAAACTCTTACAATTTTTTTTTCATTTTTGACTGTTATAGCACACCATACATTTAAACAAAGTACACAGGTACCAGGGTAAGGTCTCTTGAATACACAAACGCTAGACTCGGTTGTATTTGTACTCAGACAGAAAAATATGTAATAAACACCAACATAGAAATGTAGTTTATTTATATTTTCATGCCGTATATGATTTTCACAACTGATAAAACGCGGCTAATCATGCAGATCAACCGGCCGATCGAGGGTTCATGAATCATGAATATTCGGGCCTAAATCAAAGAGAATCGATAAATAAGTCAACTTTTTATAATTTAGTTTTTATTTGAAAGAAGATAGCATGTTGTGTTCCTGTTTAATATATTTTAAATACATATTTTCTATTTTCAACTGTTTGACATGCATTGATTACCGTCCCCACGAGTTCATGGAGTTCGCGGAGTCTGTCATGTCGAATCTTTTATCATTAATAAGTTTAGGAGGGGATTTAATTTTGAACAGTGCATGTAAGTAGTGGATGTAAAATTACAATTTCTCTGACTTTCAATTCATCCCTACCTGTTAAATGGTTAGAACTTCGATAAATCTACTGTCACATTTTCTGTTTCCTCCAACTTTGTTTACGTCTGAATATAAAAACCGAAACCGGAAGCGATCAAAATCGGCCTCAAAAAACATCGTTTTTTATATTTTTCAGGGTGGCCGCATGCGAACAACAGAATGATATTTTGGGATATAATTCATTATGTCATTTTAAACAATCTATCAAATTTTTACTCTGTTGTTTTCATGCGGCCATATCTAAATCTTCTTTGGAATGTGAGAATTTGATGAAAATTTCTCAATTCCGGAAAAATCACACAACTTCACATCGTGATAACTCAACTACGAATCAAATGTTGAAAATTTTATTGCTATTTACATCAAACTGGACATCTCGTTATATGAAAAATAAACCAACTTAACGATAGCACTTTAGAATATTGGGCAGCTCATATATGCTTACTGCCCCTGATTCTTTAGAAAAACAACCATTCCGAGATTGCAGTACGGTAAAAAAAGAATTCTTGACGACACTGCCGTATTTCTGTAAATAAATTGTATTTACAAGGACAGAGATTGAATGATTACAGCATATGAGACAGGCACTGTTAAATATTATTTTACATATGAAACCTGCATGAACATTTTGTGCACATTTTTATGACTGGTTAAAGCGACATACGAAACTTATTTAAGTTAAAACTTAAGGTGACTATAAGTCAAGAAAATTTACATGTGCTCATATTTAGGTAAAATAAAATTTGACGGCGGGTAAAATAAAATTAAAGTTTGTTTGGAATTGCCGCCCGTCTCAATGAAATACCCCCCACCCTTCCCTGTACTATTTTGGCAGCTAATAGGAAAAAATTATTTGCAAATCTAGAGAGGGGGGAGGGGGGCATACCTATACATTTTTTGCAAAATTGATAAATTTAATAACTATTTTAAATGAAAATATTTACATTTGCAAATGTTTTCCCTTATATTAAACTACTGAAAGGAATGTGTATCTTTAACTGTATAAATACAGGTACGGGGTCAATAGGTCATAGATGTGCATATGGATAATCGCTTGACGTAATTTCTCAATGACGTCATCAAGGGTCGAAGCGTGTTCAGTGGATTACATACTTGCCGTTGAGTTTGAAAAATAATGCAATTATTTTCACATGCTAAAAGTCACAATCAGGCAAAAATAAAGCATGAATAAGTCACAAATGTAAATATAAGTAATAAGGTATCATTTTAAAACATTTCTTGGGCTATAAATACGGTTTGGTACAAGATTAAATGGAATTTAATCTCGTGACCAACCCGTATTCATATCCCGATAGATGTTTAAAAGACTCTCAATTACATCTGTATTAAAGTTTTGTGATGGAGAATCTAGTACTATTTCACTAATTACACTTGTAACAAAAAAAAATTAGTTTCAAAATTGCAGGACCGTTCCATGTTTTACAACCTATTTTAGTCACACTTTTGGTACCTGGACATGGACATGTATGTCATGATTTTCTTTTTAGAACTAAGAAATTAGGTAATCTGAATTTGTTAGACATTTGATTGGAATATTCTATTGACTCTCATTTTTCTAACATGTTTAACTAACTGGCCATGTTACAGTACTATAGTCTATTTAAAGGGGAAGTTAAGAATGTGTCCCTTTTGAACTTACATCAAGAGGGGGATTCTCTTGAGCTTTTCTTTTTAAAAATACTAATATTACATGTAACTTTACTGCATATAGATTTGGAATGAAATTTAAATGAACTAAACATCAGTTGATTCTGTATTCTTAAATACCTGAAACAAATATTTGCACGTACATGTAGTAATACACTTGTTTTAATATTTTAGAAAAACATTGCAAATAGGTACAAAAATCTCCCTAACTAACTACAATAAAATGATGATATATTTACATCTGTGTTGTAAGGCTGCAATGATACGCACACCCCATGATACGATACATATCACAATATTCAGCTCACATTACAATATGTATCAGGATACATAACAATGATGACATATTGGGTTACAAATTCAGATGTTTGTCATTATATACTTTAAACTCAAAAGTTTTATCAAATGCTCATTACAATAACACTAGGAAAATGATATCATCCTTCGAACCAATCTAATAGATTGCCTTCGACCTGTTAAATATGAAACTGGAAACAAGTTTCTGCAGTTTCATGGATCCCATGTTTCATGCAGAAGCCATTTTGAAATTTGAAAGGACAACCAAAACGGACGATTCGGATAATTACGGACCAAATGAACCGAACAGTGATATATCAGTTTCATGTATCATGAACTGAATCGTGGAAAAATAAACCATGGTATACCGTTAAACGGTTTATTGTTGCACTCTTACTGTGTTGTGATCTTTTAATATCTAAATGCATAACTATTTTCCACACTAATTACATGTTATTGTACAACTTGAAGATGAATAAAAATGAAAGTGTGAAAACAGATACATTTTATTCAAAATTTTCTGTTACAGTATATATGTTGTTGATCCAGATTGAGAATGTACATGTACCATGTACATGTACAGATATATGATAAAATAAGAAAAATTAAACTAACATGTAGTTGAATTCAATAAGAATTTTTTAATGAAATTCAGGGATGTGCAATTAGCATCGCCCGACGCCCAGGGCTACCACATTTTGGGGTTGGGCTATTGATTTTCTGCATGGAGGTAGCCCGTCGGGCTAGTAAAAATTATAACTACACATGCATTACATGAAAAGCACAACCTGTATTTTCACTCTTTTTTGCTATTA